TTTTTTGAGGATGAAATAATACATTCATTTTCTATATTACTATATCTCTATCATTGTTGGTGGATTGGGGAAAATACATATTGGTCTTCAAGCTCAAAATGACTACATATAACGCACAGTCTATTAAATACTGCAAAATCAGGCCCTTTTTTCATAGGAAAATTGCCATGCCACAATCTTGATAGTCTGATTTCTTGTCAAAATCCCTATTCAAAAGAATCACTAAATGTAGTCTCACAAATGTACAGCTGTTAACCATAAAGACCAAAATAATATTCAAAAAAGGCTCAAAATAGAAGCAAATGATGACTTCTGAAAATGCCTCATTAAGTCTTAAAATAACCGCCTGTACTACCAGATCATGGGACCCTGCGAAAAGAAATGGGCTGATTTCTCGGGTTTTGAAGGGCAACCAAGTGTCAGGCTCTGTGCCTGGAGCCATTGCATAGATTCTTTTGGAGTTTCAGAAACTAACTGTCCCCTGGGAAAAAGGAGAGCCCATCTGCAGTGGGTTGCCATGCCCTCCAGCTCCAATTCATGTCCACCTGGCACCTCAGAATGGGACTTCATTTGGAAATTGGGTCTTTGCAGGTGTAATTAAGGGAAGAATCCAGATGAGATCATACTGGATGAGGGTGGGCCACAAACCCAATCAGAATGTCCTTATAAGAGAAAAAAGGACACGCAGACACAGGGAAGAAGGCCACGTGAAGACGGACTGAGGCAGAGGCAGGAGTTATGCTGCCACGGCCAAGGCAGGCCTGGGACCACCAGAAGCTGGAAGAGCGCCTGGTTTCACTCCCTAGAGGGAGTGCGGCTCTGCCAACACCTTCATTTCAGATTTCTAGCCTCTGGAGCTATGAGAGAAGAAACTTCTGTTGTTTTAAGCCACTCAGTTTGTGGTAACTTGTTATAGCAGCCACAAGACATGCATACACTACCTTACAATGAATAGTGTTAGAGAAAAACCTGGTTCCTTTTGGTGATTATCTCCCCCCAAATAGTCTGAGGGATTTTAGGTGGTACTTGAGCAGTGTGCGTCAAATGCCGCTGACCCTGCAGATTGAGAAAGTCAGCCTCTTTTGATTCTTTTTTAATCCCAGTTAAGTCAAAGACACATCAGGTTGGTGCCACCGTGTGTAAAGCCTCTCTCCAATGTGCTGATCTCCCATTTTGACAGAACAGGCTTGACCTCAGAGGCTTCAGCAGGCATAGGTACGACTTTGTTTTTATCGTATTTATTTATAAAAACAATGCTGGTCTTCCACTTAAAACCATGTTATGATGTTTCCTTTAAAATAAATGCATACATAATATACCAATAGCAGCATGATTCACAATAGCCAAAAGGTGGAAACAACGCAACAGTCCATCAACAGACGAATGATAAACAAAGCACGGTATAGAAGTACAACAGAATAGCCATAAGAGAAAGGAAATTCTAATACATGCCACAACATGGATGAACCTTAAAAACAAGCTAAATAAAATGAGCCAGACACAAAAGGCCAAATAGGGTATGATTTCACTTATGTGAGGTACCTAGAATAGGTAAATTCATAAAGACAGAAAGTAGAATAGGGCCACTAAAAAAATAGAAAATACTNAAAAAAAAAAAAAACACTTAAAATAAATAAATAAATAAAAATAATAAAATAAAATAAAATAATTCCAGGTAAACACAATGATTTGTTTTTCCTAAACAAAAGGCTTTCATCTATGAGTTTTTCTTTGCAAAAAGCTGCTTTATTTTGTTATTTAAAAATAGATTAGTCTTGGCATGTTTATAGGGAACTAATTCTGATAAAATATATCTAGTTGGTTATTATTAATCTGGATATTGAAATTTTACCCAAATTCGAGTTACCACATACCACAAGGACTTCCCTTTGCTACATAAAACAAATTTATCTGTTTCTCTTGGACATAATTAATGTTTTATTCTTTGTATGATATTAATAATTTAAAGAGCCAATACCTGCCTACCTGATGCATATCAACTTAGGATAGTGTTACTGAAAATTTTATTCCAAGTCTAAATTTACATTAGCAAATATAGCAACATTAAAATAAAACATTCAAAGTTGACTTCCTATCTTCTTTGGGGAAGGGTAGGAAGTGGAGAGTCTCTGAATTCGCATTTCCAATTCACATTAGTCCCTTTCATATAAATTGTCATGTTTTCTGCTGGAAAGCCACCTTCAAAATGTTTTTCTAAGAAACTATTATTTTCCCTCAAATTTGAACACATTTATTTCTCCTCCCTTCAAAAAATTAGAAAATAATGCTTTAACACAATAATCAAAGTGTGTGATTTTTAAGTCAAATCAAATCAATTTCCTCAGCATTGTTTTGAAATATTTTTGTAATCTGCTTATAGTCCTTTTAAGATTTATTTACGAAATGAAAGAAATGAAAGCATGAAAGACATTGACCTTCAATTCCTTCTTGCTTGTTTTCTTTTTAACAATTATTTGATGTCAGTAATGGTTTATAAGAATTTATTTTTTTTACCTTAAACTTCTTTTTCACATTTTCTTTGGATAGATGCACAATAAAATAACAACTTAAAAAAAAATCTGGACTGAACTTAGAATATTTTTGTTTCAGTACCCAGGTGAAAAATTAAAGATTTAATTTGTATGTTTTAACCAAAACTCTCTTGACAAATTTAACTCTCAAGTTTAATGTTATTGCTCATAATACTAACTAGTCATGTTAATCTTACTAATAATTGATATTATTATTAATAACAAGAAGCACTACCATTCCTCTAATGTGGTGGGTAATGCTTTGCATACATTCCTTCATCTCAAGTAACTCTCAAAGCAACCTGAGAAGTAGGGTTTTGGTTTTTTTTATTTTTATTTCTGCTCTACCCAAAAGGAACCTGTAGGGGGCAGCACATGACTAGATCCAGGTCTCTGGCTCCAAAAAGTCCAGGCTCCTTCCTCTCTCTGAGAGTTAAGCCAAAGGTTAGCCCTTCCCAACTTCATCATTTTTTATCACATTCACAGAAAAACTTTTGTATTACTAGCATTTTAATTTAAGTTGAATCATGTTTGTATTTTAAAACTTAAATACATTTATATTTAAAGAAAACTCACAGGCAAGGAGCTCACATGTTCAAAAGTGGCCCCTGCTCAGGCAGAGTCCCACCGGAAGTTGGAGGGCACAGATCAGACACGACAAGGCACAGCGGGGAGCCGGGCAGGGGCCCGTGATGCCGCTCTTGCGAGGAGCTGGGGAGCCCAGAATGGGTGGAACAATACGGGGCTCGGTGAATGGGCCAGGGGAGCTGGAAGCCCGGGTGGAAGGATGGGCTCCAGCCTGGTAAGGTGAAGCGGAGCCAGGGAGAGGCTGGAAAGAGACTGAGACTGGAGGGTAAAGGGAACTCAGCGGGGAGTTGAGGCTGAGGGCAGGGCACTGAGACGGGGGACCCTACAGGATGAATAGGCCTAAGGATGGAGAAAGGCCCCACATGCTGAGCTGAGAGACTCAAAGGGCCCGGGGCACATGTCCTTGTCAACTCAGGACACAGTCTCTCCTCTTTACATGTGTCAGTCTGTGTCCAACAAGAAGTGTCAATATGTCGTCCATGTACCACTTACAATCACTTTGGCCATACTCCTAGGCAAAGCACACGTCTATGGAAAACACTAGATTAATAAGCCACGCTGCTGAAACCATTCAAGCAGCCCTTTGACCATGTTTGCTCCTCTCCACAAGTCAGGCAGTCTGGTCCAGCTTCTACCACGCACGCCCGGGGTTGTTCCCTCACACAGAGCCACCACTGCAAAATTAACATCCAAGCCTCTAAGGAACTTGCCTTACCAACATGGGGAGCCACCCAGACCGAAAACCCTAACGTGTGCCTTACCTTGTGTAATGAGTAGCCTGACTCAAATATAATAGGCGGAAGCAACAGGAGGAAAAACATATTTGGACGAAACATTTCTTCTTCCTGTAAATATAAAATGGGTATTTTAAGAGACATGGAGTTTGTGTAATTAAGAAATAAATCCATCAATGAAGAGCCGAAGTAATTCTTCTCTCAGGGCCTGACCCAGGGGAAACATACGATGTTTAAATAACTACCTGATAATAAAACCAAGCAGGAGGAGAGCTATAACAAACAAACAAAAATACCCAAGAAACAAAACGTGCATTTTAAAATTAGGATAAGTACTTTAAAAGGTGACCAGCAAAAGATATAGCAGAAGGAACTGCTTCCAAACACATAGTAGTATGCTATCTATTCTTTACTAAGGAAAGAAAAGTAATTTTAAAGGAAAACATTTTAATTCAAATAAAACACTTTCAAAAGCAAGTCCAGGGGCGGCCAGTTAGCTCAGGTGGTT